AGTAGAGACTAAGCTTCGTCCATATCTTTCACATACGAGATCCATTTTCGACTGTATTTTTATATTTTAACTCCTCTTAAAGATATCTTCATTTCTCATTTAGATTATTTTGGCTAAAAATCGACCGATCTAAAATTCGAATATCCAAGCTGTTTACTATTATGTTAAATCTTAGAAAAATCATAACTTCCTCATATGAAGTCACATTTGGACGTTCTTTTTATGCACACTCTCGCTTTAACATATACTATGACTTTTGTTTAGGTCGCTAAGGCTATAAAGTATTTTATCGTAAATTCACTTTTTACGATTCCCGGTGTCGTGCCGGTTTTGCCGTAAAACTTCGACGGGTCATAACTTCTTCGTTATAACTTGGATTTCGGCGTTCTTTATATGTACGAAACCCTTGTGACATATACTATAACTTGGTTAAGATTATTTCTTCTAAATAATCTTATATTAAAAAGTCATTTTTTGTAACGACCCGTCTCTAGTATGTTGTTTTCATGTTATTTATTTAGAAGTTTCAAGAGGGACTCGACGAGTCTATTGTCCGACTCGTCGAGTAGAGACGGGATTTTGAGCAGCGTATAGATCGGCGACTCGACGAGTCCATATTCGGGACTCGGCGAGTCCGCCTGCCAGGTAGAAACCGTAAATCCTCGGGTTTGCACCCTATTTAAACCATCTTATGAGTCCCAAACTCATCTCCTGCACCCTCAGAGCATCATTTAGCAAACCCTAACCATTCCCTTGAGTATTTGAGCATTTCTTGTGTGAATCTTGAAGTTTTGAAGAGAATAAGGAGGCTAGATCCGAAGGAGTAGAAGAAGATCCAAGATCTTGCACCCACTACAGAGTTTATTGAGGTAATAATCAGATTTCCTTCTGTTTCTATGATTGATTCTCCATTATAAGCTCATTTAGTCCATTTTATCCATTTCCTAGCTTGTTTTTAGTAGAGAGATCACATTGGGTTGATTAGCCTTCGGATCTAGCCATGTTTGAATTCCAAAAACGTAGATTTAACACCTTTATGGAGCCATTTTGCATGAAAGCCCTAGATCTACTCTTTTAAGTGTCTTTTCAGCCTTTAAATCCCTTTTCATGCATATGTACACGTAAAGTTGGAAACTTTACGTGGTAAACAAGCCTTAGGAACCCAAATCTATAAATTGTATGCAATGGTTTTGAGCAGAATCGAGTTTTTAGTAACTGCATGCATGCGACTCGGCGAGTCGTTCTTCGGACTCGGCGAGTCGAGCCGCGAGTCCCCGATCTTTCCCTTTGAGTGATTTCGAGTGGGGACCAGTGAGTAGTAGAATGGACTTAGTGAGCCGGAGGTTAGACTCAATAATGGAGGGACTCGACGAGTTGTTCATACAACTCGGCGAGTCTAAGGCAATCTTCATAGATTCAACAACAACTCGTCGAGTTGTTCATACAACTCGGCGAGTCGGATGCAAATAGCCTGAATTCTAGAATCGAAAGGGAACTCGTCGAGTTGATGCCATACTCAACGGGTAGCAACGAACAGGGTTGAGAAGTAAGAGTAGGGACTCGGCGAGTTGGCGGCCCAACTCGGCGAGTCAGGTCAACTGTAAGTTGACTTTGACCGGGAGAGTTGACTTTAGCCAGGGGTAAAAGAGTCATTTTACCCCAATGCAGTTATTAGTATTTGATTGAGTGTATTTGTGGAATTGTAGTCGGGGAGATACCGGAGCAGCAACAGATAGCTTCCAGAGCCATACACTCAGCAGCCAGATCACGAGGTGAGTTTCCTTCCAGTAGGAACGGGTCTAAGGCCACAATGCCGGCCCGTTTAGCTAGTAGTAGTTTCCGGACTTCGGTCCGATGCAGATTTTAGTATGTTTGATGCCTTCGTAGCTCAGACAGGATTTATGTGTTATGTGTTCCGGGCTACAGCCTGATGCAGTATGCAGTTTATGTGTTCATGCTAGTTGATATGTTTATGATATGCTATGTTCAGTAGTTCCGAACTTCGGTCTAATGCAATCAGTTCTGGACTTCGGTCCGATACAGTTAGTTCTGGATTTCAATCAGATGCAGGAGGCAAGGCCTCAGTAGTTCCAGACTTCGGTCTGATGCAGAGGGCAAGGCCCTGGTTAGTTCCGGACTTCGGTCCGATGCAGTTTCCGGACTTCGGTCTGATGCAGTGGGCAAGGCCCAGTATGTGTTTATATGTATTGTTTGGTATGTGGTAGTTTGGGGGAGCTCACTAAGCTTCGTGCTTACAGTTTCAGTTTTGGTTTCAGGTACTTCCGCAAGCAAAGGGAAGAGCTCGGGTTGATGGCATCACACACACCACAACTTCAGTTGTCCTGGGAGTTGTTTTTAGTTTTTCATAGATGTGATTTGAGACAGTCTCGATACAGTTTACTCATAACACTTTGCTATTGTTTTTGATATATTGATGTACAAGTTTTACTTTATGATATTATCATGGCGTTTTTAGTAATTATTAAACAAAAATTTTTGGGTCGTATTTTGGGATGTTACATTTTTTATGTTGATTGTCTCTAAATTGACTAGCCCGAATTTGTGGGCGTTAAAATATTCCATTAGGGAAAATGACATTGTAGCCGTACAATGTATTCCACATTTGTCCATTCAGTCCCTTATGTTATGTTCGTTCATTTTAAGGGAATAAACTTGGTAGTGACTTGTCTTTTTAGGCCCTTTACCTTTAGCAATCAAATTCAGTCAAAATTGAGAATGTAAAAGTCAAAATCACGCAACATTCTGCTATTCCATAGTCAAATTGAGAATTGTTAGGCATGTCAAACCCAAAAAACAATATGGGTAGAATGGACTTTAAATACACTGCTTTAATGCACTAAAACGTAGTGCAAGGCAAGCAGGGTCGAACCACGGAGACACATGACAAAAGTCTATACCTCTTTGTGCAATGTACTTTGATCACAAAAGGGGGTTTTGTTTGCAAAAGTAAAATAATAAAATAACAATATACTTTAAAAACATGAAGAAAATGAAATAAACTTGTAAATAATTTAATTGAATGGTTCTAGTTCTAGTTCTTAATGTTGTTGTTCAACTTGATTATGACTTGATGTAATTCATGATTGCTATTCTAAGCTGGTACTGAAAGATATTAACATACTATAATACCTCTCGCTTGCCAAAGTATCTAACCAAAACACGCTCTTTGACTAGACCTAGCTTTTTCTAATTCAACCTAAACACGCTCTTGGATTGTATTGAAAAACAACATTAAGTTTCATACAAGTTTCCCAACAATGTTCATTTCTTCTCATACGCTTGGAAGTATGAAAACATGTGATATATGTTTTAAAATAAGAAAACTTACTGTTTGTTACCAATTACTAACTTAATAGAACGATTAGACCACCTAAAAGTTAATTAACTACAAAAAAATTCAATTCATGAAAGTGGTCAATCAAACACAAATCAAATTCAATGGTTCTAGTTTAAAAAAATCACTAGAATAGAATCACAAATCAAACATCAAATCATATGCTTCAAGTTAAGCAATCAACATATTTTGAACAAGAACTAGAAATTAGGGTTTCTTAGCCACACATGACTAAGAACAAATAAAAAAAGAATAAAGATGAAATTGAAATATTTAATGCTTACAAAAGAAAATCAAAAGTGTTTGCAATGATTAGTAGCCTTCATGAATTCCCAAAATTGCCAGAGAAAGCTCCCAAAATCGTCTCTGAATGAAAAGTGTCGATCTCCTCCAATTTAGCACCACAATTAATTGTTGACGTGCATTCCACGAGACCATTTGTTTTTAGCATGGCCATGCCTTTTGCCCATGTGTTTTTGGCATGAATATGTTTCTTGACCATGTGTTTTTAGCATGGCCCATGACTTTTGCTAAAAGTCTAATAAGTCTTCACTGTTGGCTCCTTCTTCAGTCTAGCTTCATAACGAGTCATGTTGCTCAAATATAAGGTGAGAAAGGACAAACACGACCCATGTCGGTGTGACACAAATCATATTTTAAACGTAGTCATTGCTATTATGATAATGCGACAATGACTCGGGTTATGTCTTCATGTTTTCTTCCGTGACATGATCGGTCCATCTTATCTTCAGGCTCCAAAGCTCCATGCTCTAAGTTCCAAGCTCCATGTCCCGTCCTCCATAATGCCTACAAAATAAATAAAAAATAGTGAAGTACCAGACATTCTTAATAAAATATACAATTGCCCAAATAATTAAATAAATGCAATAATTATGAAGTAGAATGCTATGAAAGGATGGAAATAAACATTCAAAATATGTGCATAAAATGCACCTAACAATAATCTATATGTAAAAGTCACAAAATGATTTAAGGAATCATGAGCATCCTAATAGAGTTATGGACCGCGAACGTGGTGAGTTATCCAGTGCAGTGGATCTGTTAAGGCCATTGATTTGGGAACACATGAAAAAAATGATCAATGTTCTAAGATAAAAGAAGCCATCAATTCTCATTTTTCAAGAAAGAAGATGAAGTCTTCACCTATTTTTTGGGACAAAGATGACAAAGAAATCGGTAATATATATATATATATATATATATATATATATATATATATATATATATATATATATATATAAGTGTTGCTCCATTCCTACTGTTAATAACCACATGAACTTATCACTTCCGATTTGCCAAAAACCAAAAAATCCATAACAAATTCAGTTTTAACATTCATTAAATTACAACTTGTAAACAATTATTCCAGAAAATAAAACCCAACTAAACAATAACTAAACCTCCAACTTCCGATTTTTGATTACCACCTCCTTCTAACATATCTTCAGGCTCTGATTTTGGATTACCACTTCCCTCAAACTTTGATTTGGACTTCAACAACATGCACATGATTTTTAGTCTAATAAACCCACAAAAGAAACCTACTACTAGGTCATTGCAGATTTCAATATCATGAATAATCAAAATTAGGTTAGAATTGAAAAAACTCAAATATTTTTGGAGAATGGAGTACCATATTCAGGAAAGCATGATATTCCTTACCGAGATTCTTTTTAGTGGTGGAATTCCTTTTGATTGCCATGCTTCCGCAATCACACCTCACCATAATTTTCTTATTCAGACGCATCAAAAGAATAAAAACGAAAGAGATGAAGAAGAAGAAACTGAGAAAAAAGGAAGTAAATTTTCTTAATGAAGTCGTTGTGGCGGTGATGATGATGGCGTTGGTGGTGGTGGTAGTGACAACGGGGTTGCGGTAGTGGTGGTGATGATAGGCGTCTGTGTTGGCAGCGACAATTATGGTAGTGGTGGTGATGGCGGCGACGGTGGTGGTGGTGGTGATGGTAGGTCGGTGATTGTGGTAGTGGTGTTGGGTGTGTGTGTGTGTTTATAGGTGTGCGTGGGTGTATGTATGTATGTGTTTGTGGGTGTGAAGGTGGGGGTAGGTGTGTGTGTGTTTGTGGGGGTGTGGGTGAGGTGGTGATGGGTGTGTGTTTATGAGGGTGGGTGAGTATGTGTGTGTCTGTTTGTGGGGGTGAGGGTGGGGGTGAACTTAGAAGTGGGTGGGTGTGGGTAGGTAGGTAGGGGTAGGTAGAGGTGAGAATACGTTTGTGTTTATATTTTAAAATAGTTTTGGAATTAGAAAAATATAAACAACAATGATTATTGATTTTCCAAAAATTTTCAACTTAATTATAATTTTAGAAATTAGAAAATGAAATTCCGTGAAAAATTAAAAAAAAAAATAAACTAATCGCGTTTTCAAAAATTTTATTTTTCTTGAAATTTTTTCTAAAAAAGGGTTAATTTTTCGTCAACTAAACACTATTTATTATTATTATTATTATTATTATTATTATTATTATTTTTTCAAGTAGTCAAATTAGAAAAATTGACCACATTGCCACTTTGCCCTAGACAGAGCGGTGTTCTCCTCTATTCTGCAACCACACATCGTGACTCCACCATCATCTCCTACCTTCGCCACGTCTCCGTCACCCCCTTCGCCAGCGCCGCCGTATACTTTCCCTCCTCTCTCCATCGGCGATACCTCCGGTAAATCTCTCAGTCAATCTGCTATCAATTTGTTTTTTTAACTGGTTAGAACCTCCGTCATCGGCGCCACTGCATTTTTTTTTCGGTTTATCCATTTTTTTTTCTAGTCTATAATCTCCGGTTCAATGATTCATATTGAAGTCTTGGGAGATATTGAGTCAAGAAATCTACAGGTTTTGAACGGGGATATATTTGTATTGAATTGATTTGTGCAGCAATAAGCTCTATATGTGAATTTGATATGGTTTGCAGACATGCAATTCTTATCTATTTGTATGTGAATTTTTTGTGGTTTGAAGGAATTCTGTGTTCGCATTTGGAACTTTCATACACTAACATTTCAAATGCAAAATTGATATCGCTGTTCATAGTATTATACTATTATATATGTAATAGCTGATATGAAGTGTGATTTAGTGGGGGATTTCGTCTAAAATAAGTTGATTCAAATATTTTATCAAACAAGAATATTCCATTTAACAAAAAATAGTACAAAAAGTTAAAACGATCATTGTTTGAATTTCATTTGCAGAAATGAAGCACTACGACATATCTGGAACAACTATTTCTGTTGCTCTCTTCACAGAGGTCGCTAATTCCAAGTACTCCTCTCTCCATTTCTCTATTTCCCTAAATTTACACGTGTCTGCCATTCTTTAACTACAAATTATTCAAAATGATAATTAAGGGAACTCTTGGAGCTGATGCAAGCTGGAACACTAGAGCCTGAAATAGCCCTCCTCAATGCATCTTTGGTAGGCATGCTTTAACTAGCCTCCCCATTTGTTGAAAAGACGTGAATGCCCTCCTGTTGTGTAATAAACACAGATCTAATATGAGTTTCCGTGAAACAATGTTTAGATTCCAGATATTTTCCCGGTTTTAGCAGCTGCTCATAAAACACTTGTATCCAAATCAAGGGATTCATTGACAACTCGGACTCTTCATTCTGAGCTTGTTTATAATTACTCGGGATCTAAACATGTAATCTTTCACAATATCATATTGTTTTTTATTGTTTATGAAGCTTTATTCTCACATATGTGATTTTGTTGAACAGATTTCTGAATCATTAAAACGTTGTGGTATCTCTGATAGCACCACATATGTTCTTGCTGCTCGATTTAATGCTTCTGAAGATGAGGTGAGATTGTGTTTGAATTGTTTACCAAATTTGTTTTTGATTGATAAGAAGAAGTAAGTTATTGTTTGTTTGTTTGTGTAGTTGAGTGCCATGAAGGCACTTATCAAAGGAAAGGAAATTGATTTAGAAGAGTTGGAAGGAAGAGCAAATAAATCTCAAATACTAAAGGTTTGAATTTGATTATGATTTTCTTTTAGTTCATTTTTTTTTTAATGTTATCGTTTTTTTCATCAGCAATACAAAATAACGGGGGTAGAACTGGGAATATCAACCATTGGAGATGCTATAACATGTCGGATTGCTGCCCGGGATGCTTTGTGAGGGTACCCATTTGATATTTCTTTCTGTTTTTATCCCTTGTGTGTGTATTTTTCTGGAAAAAAGTTTTGAATTTTCATTTTTTTTTCTGCTAAGATAACAACACTGTTGTATTTGAAAATATCTTCCTTGAATTTGTATAAATTGTTAGTGAATTTCTAAAAACCTAGGCCTTGTTTGGTAAAAATAAGCTTTATTGTTTGGTAAAATACTTTGAGATAGTTGAATTGCTTATGGAGTTTTTTCAAAAATATTCCATATATATATATATATATATATTATATATATATATATATATATATATATATATATATAATTTTAGATTGCAATCTATAGCTTATATGCTAGTTTTTACCTTATAAGCTAATTTATCAGGTACCAACTAGTTTTTCAACTAGTCCGTCAAATAGCTTATAATCTAGTTATTACGAAACATTACATGAAAAAACTAAAATAAGAATAAATTAGAGTTGAATGAATTGTAAATTGGAATCCAACATGAGAATTAAATAGTTTATGATTCACCTGTCGTTATTGTTATTCTTTTTTTATTTGAATGAATTCTATTGTCTACTTTGAATTTACGAACCAAACACGTCTTAAATAAATTTGTGTTTGAATTTACGAACCAAACACGTCTTAAATAAATTTGTGTTTGAATTTTCTTTGATGGTGAAGTAACATTGAAAGTGTGCATAAAGTTGTGGATGCTGAGAGACACATAAAATCTTTGACAAAATCATTAATCGACATATTAATATATGATGTTATGTCAAACACGTGTTTATTGGTTATTATATTGTACTTTAAATTTAATTTTCAAACGAATTATTATTATATTTCCAGTAAGCGTGTGATCATGGTTGGGTTAACATTGATAATAATGAACAATAATAAATCTTGATAGTGGCATTTAATCAGTTCCTATAACATAAAAATATATAGGTTACTATCTATGTATATTCAGAAAATGAGGGACAAATGAGGGAAAAGATGTAATTCTCTTGACTTTCTATATTATTATGATGGTAAAGGAGCGGTAATACTTCTAACACCTTATCATATGCTTACATCACCTTTTTGGGTATAATATCATTTTTCTCTTTTGGCATCTCATTTTTAGCATGTGATAGGGAGTAGTAAGACTCTTAACATTTTTTTTTTTTTCCAAATTGAGTTAACTATTATAACCCTCAAACCATTTATAAAATTTCAGATGTAATGAGCTAGGGAGGAACTTCAACCTATACTATTTAAAAGCGTTCAATCTATACCATTTAAAAGTGTTGCAAGAAGCATCAAAAGAATAATTTTGTCAATTAGTCATTTTAGCAAACACTTGGTGGGCATATTGACAAATATACTTTTAAGCAATTTCTATCTCATTAAAACCCATTTAATCATAGAACATCAAAGATGCATATGTAAAATCCAATGTAAATTTGGTAATAAGAGTCATTTCCATATTTTCCATACTATGTGCATCATAAAAAGGTAAGGTTGCACTATGGCCATTCTATATAGTAGTGAGGTTCCAATCATCATTTCAGTCAAAACTTGAATTTTATAAAACCAACAATTCATACTTGTATAACTTGAATTTTATAAAACCAACAATTCATACTTGTATAAAGTTTAGATCAGAAGGTTGCTTTATGTGCTCAATGAACAACATTTAAAAACCATTCTCATACAAGAGGTGTCAGAATAAGTAATCAATCATATTCGCCTTTAAACATCCTGATCAAAAATCACAAAAAAAAAAAAAATACAAATCAATATAGTAGATTAACAATTCGGAGACAAACAACTACCGAAGAAACAAGTTCATCAGTTTAAAGCCTCAAATTGAATCGAACAATGTTGAAACCGGAGGTGGGCGACTTAGAAAATGGTGAATCTATGGCTCCAAGCTTAGTTTAAATTGAAATAACGTTTAAGGTAAGGTATTTACAGAAAACAAAACCTTCAACAACCTCTTGAAGAAAATCACGTCAATGCCTTTCTCCAATCACAGCCAAGTTCCTGCTTCTCTCTCCTCTCGCTACCTCCGTAGCGTCTTTTCCTTGGCGAGTCTCCTAACGAGTTATAGGGGGCGGTGTTCTATGTCCATCGCGAGCCTTAGCGAGGTTGTATGGCGAGTCAACTCATCCTAAACAAAGAGAAAAAATAGAGATTAGATGAGGCCATTATGATCAATAAATTGAGTTTTATATATATATATATATATATATATATATATATATATATATATATATATATATATATATATAGAGAGAGAGAGAGAGAGAGAGAGGTTTAAATGAGAACCCAAAAACATTAAGAACTTTATGAACCATTTTTTAAAATGTTTTCATTAAGGATCTTTTGGATAAACTTAACATTTATATTGTATTAAACAAACTTTTATATTCCCTAGTTTACAAACTACTTGTCACTTGTGGTTGCACCGTCGTTGGACAACCACTACATCACTGCCGGATCGTCGCCGGCTACCATTAAATTTCATAGTATTTTTCTAGCTGTATTTACAGCTTAATAGAACAAACATTATAGCTCCCATTTTTTTGGTAATACTTTTTATTTTTTCAACCAAAATATACAAAATTTTAGTAAAAAAAATAGAATTATATATTAAAAAAACCAATTTTCTTTTTTCTAAATTGTAGATTTAAAAAATATATATCGTATATAAGAAATATTTACAGTTTAATATTCACAATAATTCACTAATACACAGTTTAATATTTTCATGCATAACTCCGTTCGTATTTTAACATAAAATTTATATAAAATATACAACTTAATATAGTCAATTTTTAGTTTAATACATAAAATTCACAACATCAAAAATTATAATCTATTATGCAATAATTCACATATTTAAATAAGTTAAACTCAAATTCTCCTACTATCACCACGACCAACTACACATGTTACAACCAACCATGCACCTATGCTACCATCACGATCATCTTTCCTTTCAAATCAAATATGTATATAAAATCTAGATTGACAACTTAAAACTATATTTACAATTTAATAAACCAATTAATTCACTTATTAAGAGTTTAGTGCAAATTAATTATTAAAAATAATACATTTTTACATATTTATACAACACAACAAATAAATATATCCACAAGAAAATCAATAGAAATATTCATACATAAATCCTCCATACTTTAACACAAACTTCATTAAAAATGCACAGCTTAATACTATCGATTCACAGTTTAAACAAAAAATTTACAGCTTAATACAATCAATTCATATTTTTAAACACAAAAATCATAGCTTAATACACAACATTTATAACTTAGTATAATTAATTCACAATTTAAACAAAATATTCACAACTCAATTCAGTTAATTCACAGTATAAAATACAAAAATCACATCTTGATACATAAAATTCACAGTTTATTACAATAAATACACACTTTAATACAAAAAAGTATAAATTCAAAGCCATATAATTCACAGTTTAATACACAAAATTCACAGTTTAATACAATAAATTCATAATTTAATCTACAAATATTATATATTCATAACTATATTCTCAAATTAAACTTACATTTTACATTCGTATATGGAGATATTTCTATACATTAAATTGTGAATTTAATATATTAACTCGTGAACAAAACTCACAACTAATTAATACACAAAATTCATAGTTTAATACGATACATTCACAACTCATTTACAAGTATAATATCGTATATTTTAATATTTTCATTCACAGTTTAATAATGCAGTTCAATCTCTCATTTATATAATTCAAAATACCAATTCAAAACTATATTCACAATTTAATACAATTCGTTGTGACATTTAATCAAACATTTGTGTGCCAAATTTTAAAACTAGATAATATATAATCTTTAAATTCCACATAATTAATATTATATTAAAAATTCATTTACCATATATTTATATATTCATAAAACGTTAGATTAAAGTTGCATATTTACTAATAAGTAATAACTATAACTATTTCTAGTTATATATGTCTAACTTAGAAAAGAAAATGTTAGAGTAATTAAATTTAAACAATGAAAAAGAGCATAATCATATCTCATTATTAGACCGGAAAAAGTGTAAGAGAAGCTTCCTTAACTTTTTGTGGGTCATACCCTTATTTTTAATATAATTAATATTATATTAAAAATTCATTTACCATATATTTATATATTCATAAAACGTTAGATTAAAGTTGCATATTTACTAATAAGTAATAACTATAACTATTTCTAGTTATATATGTCTAACTTAGAAAAGAAAATGTTAGAGTAATTAAATTTAAACAATGAAAAAGAGCATAATCATATCTCATTATTAGACCGGAAAGAGTGTAAGAGAAGCTTCCTTAACTTTTTGTGGGTCATACCCTTATTTTTCTTACTTTTCTTTCCCTCACCTAAAACCCAAAAAATGTGTGAGGAGCCCTTCCCTTATTTTTTTTTTAAATAAAATTAATTTTTTTGCTATGAATTATAATTTTTAAATTAATACTAAACATAAAATTTAATCAAAAATAAAAAGCATTTTATTAATTAAAATAAAACTTACATTAAACCTAAAATTTAAAAAACTAGAAAATTAAAAAAAAAAAACACACACACACACAAACTAAAAATCAAACAAACCAATAACGACCTACGAAAAATATTTTTTCAGAATTTTTTCCCTCTTCTTCATCACGAGCTCGAAAGCCGATCCCGAGAGATGATCGACGTTTTCCATCAAAAACTTCATGTCCTCCATTTCTTGTCTCTCCGCCCACTTATTTTTCTTTGTTTCTTCTTTTTCCTTGTTGAAAGTCAAATGTTCGGAGAAATTTAGATTATATCCATCAAACAATGATGTTATCTTCCGCATTTCGTCAATGTCCACGCTGAAATCAAATGCACTCGAAGAAGTACATTTTCCATTTCTCTTCGCTTTGTCCCTACCCATTAGGCGAACAATTTCTTCTAGCTCGAGTTCGTCGTCCTGATTAAATCTAGACCGACCCAAGCATTGGAGAAGGTTGTGTAACCATTAGAGTCCGTTTTCGTTCGCTTTGATTGGTGGACTCCAAAAATAAAATCTTGCTCGTATTTTTTCCACCTAGGACTTCAGACCAATAATTTCCAATTTGGCTGTTTTTTCGTTGGGTTTTTAGGTTATTGTACAACCCGTTTATTTTTGAAACATCCTTTGCTATTTCTCGAAA